GAAATAATACTCCGCCTCATGTTACACTCTGAGCTCGCTCGCTCGCACACACACGTTTCCATCACTGCTAGGGACATAACACTCACAACACAATTTCCTGGAGACTTAGGCCCAATCCCATCTCACCCCTTGCCTCTACCACTTAGCCCTACCCTTCCGTCTTGCTTGTTCACATGTAGTGGTAGGTGTGTCCCGATTCTCTTTAGGACAGAGGGGCAGGGAAAAGTGGTAGGGCTACACAGCCCTTCAAACAGAGGGTATTCAGAACCAGACTCTGAACTGAGTGGTACGAGGCCAACTACAACTGAAGTTACCTGCAGGTGAACAAACAAACACCTCAAAGAAATCCACCGACATTCCCTGGGGTCGAAAACAGGCTCCTATCCTTACATTATTCTTATTTGCTGTTGAAAATCAGATGCTTAAAACAAAGGAAATCACTACAGCTGAAGACAACGCTGTGTGGATCAAAATTTCCCACAACTCTGTTTACTTAACCATAATCATTCACTACCAGTGATGCATAGACATCTTTAAGGGTTGTCCCATTTCATAGAAGACTTCAACCACTACTCCTTGACAATGGTTAACTTAAAAATGAGGGAGCGCTCAAAAAATAACTGGGAGATTGAGGAAAAATGCAAATGGGCCTTAATCTAATCTTAACTATAACCACTGCTTCCCTAACCCTCACTCCAACCTTAAACCAAGTCACCACTTCAGAATTTAATTATTTACGTTGTGGGGACTTGCTTTTTGTTCCCTTAGTATCAACCCTGTGATAGATGGGTGACCTGTCCAGGGTGGACCCCGCCTCTCGCCCAGTGTCGGCTCCAGACCCCCTGTGACCCTGTTCAGGATAAGCAGTATGGATAATGGATGGATGGCTGTACACACACACACGTTTTTATAGCTAACCCTATCTTTGTAGGGACATTTATTATGCAATCCCTAGACCTTTATACCAATGAATACATGACCATCACAATTAAATACCTAAGTCCAGCCTTTCCCTAATCTAAACCTAATTCTACCCTCAACCAGCCCTTTGAAACGGTCTGAGAAAGTGAGGACCAGCTAAATTGTCCTCACTCCCCTGGTATGAAAACCAGTCCTCACACTGCTGGCAATAAAACTACACGTGTGCGCGAGCACACACACACTTTTCCATGAATCCCTCTCTTCCGCTGACATTAACTTCTTCTTGTCTTCCTGCAGGATTTCTTTGACTCTCCATCCTGTTCTATCTGTTCCCTCCCTTTACTCCTGTCTCCTCTCTGAGCCTGTTCATACACACCTAAACACTCATTATCACCAGCATTCATCTCTGTTTCTTCTTTGCCTCACTCGCCCTCAACCTTTTCGTCCCCCCTGCCCTTTACCTTACTCTCCCAGTACCGTGTCTAAAAACTGTCAATTCCTTTACCTCCCTCCACTTATACCCTCGCTCTAACACTTAAACACATCTCGCACTCACTCTTCACCTTTTGCCCTTCTCATTTTATCTGTCCCTCTTTCGGTTCCCCATTTGCTTCTACGCAACAGTATCAACACACATGCAGCCAGTCACACTCACAAAGGGCCTTAGGCGCAGTGTTATGACAAACACACCTAATAGTTAATAGGATGTGTCATACTGGCTCACCCTCTTAATCACACGCCTTATATACGGTACATACAAGCATGGGCAAAGAGTGGTGTTCACCAGCAGCTATTTTAAGCAATGATAAGACATACAAAATGTGAACTAAGAATCTGCTGCAGGAGCAAACAAGACTAAAGCAAAGGCTAATGTGGGGTAAATATGTAACCCAATGAGTCAGCCTCAGCCGTCACAGGACAGCTATTAGCGTTGCTGGCACACAGAGGGCATGTACCCTGCCAGCTCCTAAATCTGTTTTAACCCTGGGACTATCCCACATAGTCGGGCAGAGACAGAAAGAGAAAGAAAGACAGGGGGATGAAAGACAACAAAAGATGAAAGAGAGGCGAATTATCTAAAGAGACAAAAAGTCAAGAGCCCATGAGTGCCAACGCCAGCACTGAAGTCAAGTGTCCACTTCCTCTCAGCAAAAGCAAGTTGCAGATTTGATGTGTGAGACTGAAAGTGTGTAGGTGTCTGTGATTGTGTTTGTGGTTTTTGCTTATTGTCTCCCCTAAAGACGGAGCTGTTAGTCTGCTGGCATAAATAACCCAGTCACATGTCATTCTGTGTATTTTTTCCCCCAAGATTGAATCTTAAAAGGGACTACAGATCGGTTTATTTCATGTGTTTGTTCCTCCATCTATCCTGAATGTACTAGGTCTCAACAGTTACATGCTGTTACTTTGTGCTATCATGTAATTGTTGTTTTTAATCTGCATTTTAATGTTTTATCTATTTATGTGCATTGTGTTAAACATTTTGGACTGCCGTTTAAATGTGCCATTTAAATAAGCTTGCCTCCTATAATTGCTCACTCATGGGTGATTGTATTTTATGAAACTTGAAGATGAATATTTATTATCTCTGCATTTTGCTGTTTTTCTTGCATGTCACTCTGATAAACCCCAAGAAGATGTTTGTCACATTGTCTGTTGGTCTGTTCACAATGGATAAGCTCATTTGTGACAAACATCAATACGATAAATACATCTTTTTGCTGACGCCATACCTGTTTAAACTTGTGATGCTGCAGTCCTGGTTAAGGTTTAAGCTATAGAAAATTACATTTGCAGGTTTTAATTGTTAGGAATAGGTTCAAGATGAAATCTGTGACTTTGCATGCGTTGTGATTTCCTTTGCTGATCTCCAGGGACCAGCTTTGATTGATGTTTTAAAAAAAATGGCTACAATGATGGGAAGCTGCGTAAAAGGCTGCTGTTAATTGAAACAGCCACTGTGAAAGGTGGAAAATGTGCTGACAAGCTGTTTTTTATCTTTAAAAATGTTCCACCATTCCAACAGACCCAGATTATTACAAATATATTAATTAAAGAAAGTAGTGGATACTTTCTGGAGGAAACACCTGATCACTAAAAACTCATGGCGTGGTTGAAAACTACTTTATCTGCTACCTTCATTCTCAGTCTCACATTTAATTGGGGGAAATCAAGCGTGGAATTCCTGTGCGAGGTCGACCTCGGTTTCTCACCTGTGTGTTGACGGTGACTTGGCCCATCTGACACAAGCGGCCTATCTGTGTCTCTGTCTACTCTTCTTTGCTTCTGAAAATACCCTCACTGCTGCACTGACAGGTACACACACAAACACACTCCTGGCAGTTTTTATACTCACACATATGTGCAATCACTCACTGAGATACTGAACTCACACAACTGAGGTGTGTGTACTCTGGTCATCACCCAGAATACACACATACTTTGGAGAAGCGGAGGCACTAGCACTCACTTTTCACTCAGTGACAACTAGCCACTATTAGAACTGGAGATTGATCTACCTATAAAATATATTGTTGACAGACACCTAAGTGCCCCCTCCAACACATGGCATGCATATAAGTCAAGCACAACTGCAGATTAGATGTAAGTGCAGAGGTGAGCAGGGGGGCATTCGGTCTGCTGAAGTGAGTTACTGAGGTTATTAATGGGTGTGAAGTCAGTAAATTAGGTGGAATATTCCTTTATTTCTGTGGTTTATCAGCGAAAGTTTTACCTGTGAGAAGCACCTGCGGTGCTGCTTCTCCGGCCCAGAGCACTTGTAGACTCGTGGAGCTGCTCTTCCTCCATCCCTGCTGGATTCAACTCCCAGGTGTGGCATGTGGGGGTGCTGTAGAGGGTAGATGTTGCTGGCGGGTGGGGCTTGGACGCCAAAGCCTGGGTGGAGCCCCCTGTCTCTGTGCAGGGGGAGGGAGTGGTGGAGAGGGGAGGAGAACCATGAAGTGACAGGAAGGGAGTTTGGGTGCAAGTGAGGAGAAACGGGAGGAGGTGGTAAAGCGCGTGAGAAGGAGTAGGAGGATGGGACTTGCTCTCTTCCTCTTCCATGATGTATGTGGGTGTGTGACGGTCTGTCATGGTGATATGGGCTGCCAGTCGTGGTGGTCACTGTGGGGACCTCCTCAGCAGTAGGTGACTCTGTGCCCTCCCGGTCTTCGTGCTTCTCCTCCTCCTCCCCTCCAGTCCCTGCCCCCCTTTCTTCTCCATCACTTTCCCTTTCCTCTTCCTCTCTCCTGTTGTTATCCAAGTTATCTTTATGGACAGCTAGGCCAGGTACTGGTGTTGCAGCGCCAGTACCATTAACAGTGTGGCGAGCCTGGCGGTTTGGGCGGTGCAGAGGTAAAGAAAAGGGAACTCTGCCATATCCAAACTGACCCGGACGAATGGAAGACCTGAGGAAGTGGAAGACGACAGGATAAATGTTCAATACAGCTCCTGCTAGCTCTCCAGCATAATTATAACCATCATGGAGCCAGCAGACTGCAATGAGAAGGCAGGGTTATGAGACCACGAATGACATGAATGAACCCAGAACTAATTCATCTCTGCATCGAGTGGTATTCTGAGGAATCAGCATTTCTTTTTATTTTGGTGACATCTTTGTTGATAAATCACTGCTGTTCCCCAGAGATCACAGACGTTTCAAACCACGCACAGTGGTCAGTTGCACAACTTTTCTTTGTCTGCTCAGATGTGGTGTCCATAGTCGCTCATCCTAAAAATTGAGTTCTCTTGTTTATTCTAAACAAACCACTGTTGCTACTGCCAGCCACGCAAAACTCACTTCCTGTGTGTTCAAGGCATTTTCTTGTAAAAGGCGAAGTCAAGGTGCTGAGCAAAGCAAATGTAAAAGTTCCCATTAACTGGGAAGTGTTTCTGCATTGTGAACTGACCTTAAGAAAAATACTTTCATTAACAGGAAATTACTGTCTGTAGAGCCCAACTGATTCTTTGACTTTTGAAATACTGATGTTAGTATCCATTGGGTAAAACACCTGATATTAATGTATCGGTATAAATTGTTGGTTAAGAAAACAACAATACAACAAATGCATTTTTAATAAGCAATCTGTAAATGCTGTTAAAGAATTGTGACAAAGATTGGAGCTGAAAAAACAACTTTTCAAAACGCATCGATACATATTGATAGATATATGTAGACACATATGATAAACAGTTAGCTTGGAAATGCTGATTTTTTAAAAGTTAAAAGTTTTAAAGATATCCTAGAAAAAGAATTAAACTAATATCTACATTTCCATCACAGCTTTTTGCCTCCATCTGCAGAAGACAAAACTTCAGCAGAAAGCTCCACAACCTTGTGGTTGTTAGTTTTTTACTGGCTGCTTCTAAATGACTTCATATATATCTTTCACATTTCTGCACAGACACTGCTTGTTATTTTTGGCCATAAGTGATATACTGTATCTGTGACAACCTTAAGCTCTTCATTCTCTGTTTTCCAGTTGTCCGGGCACACTCACCTTCTCACTGGCAAACCCCCCTGATTAGTGGACACCGACCTTCTGCTCCCAGCTCCGCCGGCCCTTGCTGCCCCGGGATTGGCTGGTCTCCTGATGATTCGTGCTGGTTGGCTGTAGCTGTGTGAAGGAGTGTGAAAGGGCGAGCGATAACCAGACACGAGATCTTGATTAGCTGGAGATAATTCAGACTGATAGAAAGGAGATGACGGATTAGCCTGTGCAGGCATGGGAGATCCTTCGCCAACAGGGGTATTCCGATACAGAGGCAGTCCTGGGTTTTGATTAGTGGAGGTGGGCAGGGGCTGATAAGGCAGGTGTTGCCCAGGGTAACGAGAAGGGTGGTAGGGATGCACCGGTGAAATGACAGGATCTCTGATGCCCCCGGGAAGATACCCTGCCCAGCTAGGGGTCTGTGGTGGCGAAGGAGGTAAACATTTCCTGCTCCTCTGTGAGACACCAACACCACAGGTCTGAGAGCATTCTGACCACTCCCCCCAGGCAGACCACACCCCCTGTAGAGGCTCTGCCTCAAACACCTGTCTGGACCTTCGGTTGGTCGCCTGAGACAGAAAGAAAGAGAGAGACACACCACATCTATTTAGCCCAGAGGTTCCCAAATGCTGGTTTGTCAAATGGACCTTTGAACATTTACTACAAGGAAACCATAAAAAAGAAGAAGAAATAAACCATATGATTCAGCCAAAAAAAAAAGAGGTGAAGAAAATGATTTTTTCAGATTGCAACTAACCACCATGTTCATTACAGATTTCTTTGGACAGTATTTCTTCAGCAATCAGGGAACTGAGGGGTACAAATGACTACAGGACCCTCAGAGAAACAAATTAATTTCTCAGTAAATCAATTAAGTGTCTGTCTAGAATTTATCTTTGGTCTATAGAACATCAACATTTGGCAAAAAATGCCAGTCAGAAGTTCAGAAAGCCCATGGTGAGGTATTACAATTTCTTGTTTTGCGCAACCAACAGTCTAAAACAAAGAATATTCGATTTATTATAACAAAAGATAAAAAAAAACAATAAATACTGATATTTCACATCTGGAACTAGTCAGTTTTTGCCTTAATAAATTACTTATATGACTGAGCAAGTATCCTATTACAACCCCAAACTCAGAAAAAGTTGGTACAGTATGTAAAATTAAGACTGAAAATAGTGCTGTGTAAATCATCTGTGTCCTGTATTACATTGAAAACAATACAGCAGCACATTATTTGATGTGACACCTCATCCATTTTATTCTTTGTTCAGAGTAAACACTTCAGTTCTGATACCTGCAACACATTCCAAAAAAAGTTGGGACAGTGAAGCATTTACCACGGTGTGATGTTGCCCTTCTTTTTCACAACACTTAAAAAATGTTTAGGGACTGAGGACGCCAAGTTATTAAGTGTGTCAGGTGTCATTTTCTCCCATTCTTTCTGCAACCAAGTCTTAAGGTGCGCAACAGTCCTGGGTCTTCATTGATGCAATTTGTGTTTCAAAATGTGTTCTCTATTGGGGACAGGTCGGGGGTGCAGGCAGGCCAGTCCAGTGCTTGCACCTTTCCTTGGGTGCAGTGTGAGGTTTTGTATTGTCTTGTTGAAATATGCATGGACGTCCCTGGAGAAGATGTCATCTTGCAGGCAGCACATGTTGCTCCAAAATCTCGATGTATTTTTCAGCATTAATGGAGCCATCACAGAAGTGTAAGTTAGCTTTGCCAAGTGCACTGACACAACCCCAGACCATGACAGACTCTGGCTTCTGGACTTGATGCTGGTAACAGTCTGGATGGTCCTATTCGTCTTTGGTCTGGAGCACACAGGGTCCATTCCTTCCAAAAAGACCTGAAATACTGATTTGTCTGACCACAGTACACGTTTCCACTGTGTGATGGTCCATCCCAGATGCTTCCGAGCCCAGAGCAGTCGAGTGCGCCTCTGGACATTGTTGACATAGTTTCCTTTGGCACACTACAGTTTTAAGCAGCATTTATGGACATAACTATGTATTGTAGTGACTGACACAGGTGTGCCAAACTAATCCTGAGCCCATGTGGTTACAGTATATCGCTTATAGAAGAGTGCCGATTCTTGATGCAGTGCCATCTGAGGGATTGGAGAGCACAGCCATCCAGCTGAGGCTTGTGCCCTCTACACACTGAAATCCCTCCGGCTTCCTTGGATCTTTTAATTGCATTATGCACTGTAGAGGGTGACATATCCAAATCCTTTCCTAGCTTTCTTTGAGAAACATTGTTTTAAACATTTCAGTAATTTTCTAACACATACACTATGTTGGCAAACTGGTGGTCCTCGGCCCATCTTTGATCCTAAAAGGCTCAGCCTTTCCTGGATGCCACTTTTATACCAAATCATGATGCACTCACCTGTTTCAAATGGAGTCGTCATTTCATTGTTTTACCTCATTACTGGCCCTGAAATGCAGCCTTCCCTACTTTTTTGGAATGTGTTTCAGCATCAGATTTGAAACGTTTATTTTGAACAAAGAATAAAACTGATGAGGTATCACATCAAATAATGTGCTGCTGTATTGTTTTCAATATGATACAGGACACAGATGAGTTACACATCACTATTTTCAGTCTTAATGTTGATTTTTCATACAGTCCCAATATTTTCTGATTTGAGGTTGTAGTTGCTAATTCAGTTCTAATAAATACAGTATATAGGCTATTAAGGGCTATATTTCTGGCAATTAACTTGAACTTAAGTGGCCACCCATAAGGTAACCTGAGTATAGTTGAGAGGGCTATCTGATATTTTTTTATTTGCTAGGTTACCAAAAGAGAAAAGTTTTGTTAGTGAAACCTACAAATACAGAAAAGCCAGAGAAGTCTTGGCTGAATTCACAAGTCCTTGGTTCTTTTCACTTCAAAGACCTTTTGTGTTGAGTTTTGTTAAAGGTTTATTGAAAACTCAGCTTTCAACATTTTGTACTACTTTAAAGTAATAAAAGGGCTGAATGAGCACGTTAGATCAGTTATTTAGTCAGTTAACAGTTGGTTTGGCTGGTGAGAAACTACTTTCAGTGAACGTTCAAGTCCAGATGACCACTGACTCACCCTAAGTCCGACATCAAAAAGGCTAAATCTGCAAAGTCTGGCAATATTTTAAAGAAGTCCATAACTTAGACAAAATGTTGCCATTGCAAAATCCAAAATCTCTGGAAGGGCATTTATTTCCAGAAACTGAGCTGAACTAATGAACTGCTGTCTATAAGTTTCCTTCCTCTAAGGCCAAATTATAAACTGTGATCTTTTCATACGATCTCTAAGGCTCAGGAGAGTCTTGTTCACCTACCAGCAGCTTATTTATGAGCAGATGGATAAATTCATTGGAGCTGGTGTCAGATGAATGCACTGCATAAACAGCAAAATCTGTGCTGTTTTGGCTATGTGTGAGTGCATGTATGTGGGTGCCAGGTCTGGCTTTTATGTCTTCCTCTGTGGCCGCAGAGAAATGTTTCTCCTCACATTTCATAACTGAAGCATCGGCCTGGTTGGCAGACCGGCAAACATGAGAGCTGAACAAAAGTTTCCATTCAGAAAGATGCAAAACATAAATCTGCACACTCTCCTCGCTCCCTCTCCGAGTGAGTAAATGTTTGTGTACATGGGCACAAATGGGCAAGTAAACACCATGTACAAACTGTTTGCGGATGAAAGGGAGGGGCAGGTGTAGGCGACATACCCTCGTGTGTGTGTTTTTATGTGTTCCTGTGTGCTCGGATAGTATTATCAAGATTAAATGTCACTTTGTGAAGCAAAACAGCAGAGGGCTGGAGAAAGAAAGAAAAGAAATGCAACAGAAAGAGAGAAGGGGTCGGGGGGGCTGATGTACACAGGCCTAATGACTCTGGCTGGGTGTGCATGTTTCTGTCACATCAACCACACAACTCCCATTAACTGTTAATGAGCCCTCCGCTGTGGCACTGCAGCAGCCGCCAGTGGTTAAACTCCTCCGACACTGTACGACTGGCCTGAACCAGACAGGGGTGTAGTCATTTCATTCAACAAATGATCCTACTGGTCATACCGTGGACCCTCTCCAGCCTGAGTCATTAAATTCTATCTCAAAACAATATTCACATACTGGAAGAGGATTGTGTAACCTTTTCTTCTCTTTTCTTTCTAAGATCCCGTCTTGTTCTTTGATTATATTTAGTTGAGTGAGAACAATTTTATTGTCCAAAAGACACCTTTTGGCTTGTGGTTGTCAACAGATGGAACACCTAACAAAGAACATCTATACAAATATAATGAGAATGAGAAAAAAAAGTAAAGTGAGGGAAAGCTCATTGTCTTGGGTATCGGGGTATTGTTTTAGTTTTGGCTGTGCTTTGGCGTGCCTGTTTGCACAGGAGGAGGACTGTCTGGATGTTTGTTGTGTCTTGATGCTCTTCTTTTCTCTCTCCTGTATCCACTTGCCCCAACCGGTCAAGGCAGATGGCTGGGTTTGTCGGAGGTTTCTTCCATTAAAGGGAGTTTGTCGTCCCCAGTGTCACCAAGTGTTTGCTCAAGGGGAATTTGTTTTTCTCTACAATACTGTAAGGAACAGACCTTACTTTGCAAAGTGCCTTGAGATAGTTTTTGTTGTGATTTGGCATTATACAAATAAAACTTCATGTCCCTGATCTATATATTCGAATCACATTAGGGCGTTTTCTATGCAGGAAAAACACCTACGGTGGCTAATGACTCTTTTGATCCATATATGGGTACGAGAGTGATGTTTTAAGGCCGACTTGTAAAAAGGTGAATCGATCCTTTAACTCTCATCACCTTGCACCCCTCTATACTGATGCTATTCTCCGTGGATGTTCCTTCTGATGAGCTAATGACTCACCTTCCTTTTGGCAGCCTTGGTCAAGGACGTCATGAGCACCACACAGCCCCACAGCACACAGAGCCTGGAGGGATGAAGAGGAGAGGGTGAAGGCCATGCAGATATACAGGATTTAAAATATCAGCAGGTTCAATAAGCTCTTTTGTAAAGGACGGAACTGTTCCATGACCTAAACCTGAAATAATTTGTTGTGTGAACACAGACTTTCATTATTCCCCCTCTGAATGTTTTCCATCAATGTATATTTAGTTTTCTGTGTTAAATAGACTGCGCACCAGTAAATGTTCCAGTGACTTAACTGTACTTTAGCAGCCAATTATGCCAGGTTCTTTCTCAGTACAGGTGGTGTGTGGGCCCAAGAGGGGGTGAACTAAAGTTTCTTTCCCCCCTTCAAAGTTCACATGTAAACATCTCAATCAATCTGGGGGAGGCACTAACAAACTAATGGATTTAAACAGCAATAATGCTTTCCCTGTGCATGCCTCTCTCTGAGACTGTACACACCTGAGGATGTAGTTTTAACACACATACACACACAACAACCAGCAATCAGTCACAAAATCCAAAATCACTCTGTACACTAAGGTACTTTTTATTTGAGGTTTGATGTTCTAAAGAGCTGGTTTATGGTGTGGGATGGTGGTTAATGCCTCATTTAACTTTAGGATGGGGTCTTTAAGCTTAGCATGAAACTACTTTAGGAAGCACTTCAGATGGTGTACAGCAAAACTTGTCCGTGTGAAAAAGTAATCTGAAGTCGTATTTTTCCTTGAGAAGGTGAAAAAATGATGGGTACATTTCTTAAACCAAGTGGTTTGTATCACAGCAATCTCCCTAAAACAGCCACAAGTGTATTGGAAAACAAGTGAAACAGCTTCGCTCCATCTGGCAAGAAAACAGCCTGACCTCGATACTAAGCGACTTGCTAAGATGGACACAGCGTTCACCACGAGGACCAAAACATCACCGCAGTCACCACATGCAGGCAGAGTAATTGGCCCCTTCTCCCCAGTGTGGTGCACCGCCGCGGTCTCTGGAAGCGTCCCCACACCAGACTACACAATTACCCCGAGAAACACCGACAAGGGTCCCGCACGGTCCGACACAACAGAGCAGCTCAGGCCGAAGTAACGACCCCCTGCCCGGATCCACGTTTCCCTGACCGCTACAGTGGCACATTGTAGGATAAACTCAGAGGCAGGCAGACAGGGAAA